AATAAAGACTTGTTGGAGATGAATCGTCTCAAGCGCCATTATTCCCAGGACTTAACACTCTTCTATTCTTTTTCTCTTGATAGGTTGTGAACCAGGTACTGGATTGTACTAGCAGTGGTACCTTTTGTGGTAATGATACCCTGATGCAAGCAATATCGGTTTCCCTACCATTTGGTGGCATTGGTATGATTAACCTTTTATCTTCTATGCTGTCTCCATTTCTTGCCCCCATCCTTATCCTTCTCTTCCAATGTGAAAAGTTCTCCCACTTGATGTTTTTCATCCAGACAAAGATATTAAGAGTCCATTTTTTACTTTGACCAGCATATTTCCTGAATAAATCAAATGCGATCAATTAATAAATATCCCATGCTATAAGTCATGTGGACATTTATAAATAAAGGAGAGGGCTGGAAATCTGGTCTACATTACACTGGTAAGCCGCAGTAAAGGGAGAGGGCTTAATATTTTTGATTTTGTAAGTGGTACTAACAAGATCACCAGGTTAAGTAGCTCTGGTTCAGTAGGTCTGGTCCCATACTCCACTAAAGACAGGTTAACATTGTGTGTAAATCAGTTTTGCATTTTGGCTACCAAACATGGTTAAACTGATGTGCATATTTAATTTCTGTTCAATTTTTAGGTATCGTGATAACAAAAAAAGCAGCACTGTAGTTTCATTTTATTGTGGATTAAGGCAGCTGTAGTTCAATGATCACGAAACCTACAAAGCTAGGAAATTATTATCTAACCAAGCTTTGCTGTCTCTACTGAATTCTCTTCTTTAGTCCCTTTCTTTAAAAATATCCATTGCAATATCCATTGAATATTAAACCTTATATAGTAAGTACTATGAGGAAAAACCTTTTTAAGGGCAAGTATTGTCCAGCCTGATGAAAAAGAGTAAATGGATTTGATCTGATTTTTTTTTCTTGTTAATATTGCAGGACTCAGTGGATTTGGCAAATACCATGGCAAGTTTACTTTCGATACATTTACTCACCCACGGGGCTGTCTTTTGCGTTGCATGGGCCTGGAGATGATGAACAAAATGCGCTACCCACCATACAACAATACAAAATTGAGAGCAATGGTCGGTGCTTTGGAGGTCAGGCGCAGTATCCTGTGAACTTAGCTGTGAGGCCTTGAATCACATCACCTGCATTCTTAAGGATCTTCAGTTAAGAATTTTGGTGTAGTTGAGAGATTTTTTCCTTTATCAGTTGGCTCTAGAATTTTGCCTCAACACCTTCAAAGACCCTTGAAAAACACTTTCTGTTTGGCAAATCTTATTTTCACCATCTTTGCATCTTATAACTTTTCTTTATCCTGTATCAGCTTCTATAAATTCAATATTTAGTAGTGGTTAGAAAACTTAGGGACATCCTCCATTTCTTTTTGCACAGTTTTGGGTATAGTACGTATCTTCATTTCCAGCAAGGGCTAATTCTACAATTAATTAATGTTTCTGTGTAAAATTTAATCTTGATTTTAACACCTAAAGCCAATTCTGCCTCAAAATTTACAAGCATCAGGTTCTTTGCTAAAAATGGACAAGTACAGTTCCTCTTTATAGTGGAGCAATCATTCTGATTAATATTTTTGTACAATAAGGGTAGCAACATGGATGGTCTTTGTAAAATAATCAAACTATTTGTTTGTGAATATTTAAATATTGGAGCCATTACAAAAAAATTAATTCTCAAAGAAATTCAAAGCTAAGCTAATGCAGGTTGTTATACATAAATATATTCTGTCAACAATGCATTTTCTATATTTGGATGCTCTAAAACTCAGACATGCCCTCCTTAATTATATTTCCTTCAATATATTTCTCTACAGTTACAGTTCAGATTCATTATTCTATCAGTGATTTCTACACTACTCAGCACAAAGCATAATAATTTAGAAATATATTATGTCCTATCAAGCTCAGAGATTTATTTTTATGTAAATCTGCTAATTGCAAACTTACTGAGATTTCCTGCAACCTTGCATGTTCAGGTAAATGTTTTGCTTCTGTAATAAATATCTTGCATCAAAACTTGCAAATAGTTGTCTAATTATTTAATAGTGCTATCAATTGATATAGGTATTATCTAATAAAAGTAACCAATAATTAATTTCTAAACCAGGAACTTTTGGTTGAAATGTAGATACTGGTGAACAAAGACAACAGAATAAATAAATAAATGTGTTTATTTGTGAATGTGTAAGCAATTTGTTACAATAAAAATAAACAACATCTTGGCATTCTAAAACAAGTAGCCATTCTNGATTAGGATTTATAGATATGTAATGTAGAAATGGATTATGTTAAATAGGTTATATTATTTGAGGGAAATAGAGAGGGAACATTTAATGTATTTACTTGAGCTATTATATGATTTTGTTTTTGGATGATTGATCACCTAACCACCACGGTGTGTCTTGAGCATTCTGTTGTAAAAGTTAAAAAAACCAATAAAATTTGTTTTAAAAAAAAAGAATTAGGTAAAACTTTAAAACAGGATACGGATATGTATAAGCAAAAAAATGGATTGATAAATGCTTTAACTGAATTTGTTATGGTTAGAAATTTACTAGTTTTAGTATGATATACCAAATGTTAAGGGAAATAGAGAAGGAATTTTTGATAATGTAACCTGAGATATGTACAATTTTTTTTGTTATTGAATCATTGATTACCCAGTCACCACGTTGCTTTCTAAATATTGGGATGTTAAACTGGAAAACTAATAAAATTTGTTATAAAAAACATGAATGAGTCATTTGTTGAATAGATTTTCAGAAGAAAAAACTCAGCACTAAAGGGAAAATAACTAGAAGAGAAACAAATCATAACTCATTAGACAATATTTCACCATAGCTAAAGAGTGGCCAACCTCAATATTTCAAAATTGCTTAAGAACTGTATATACCAGTGATGGCGAACCTTTTAGAGACCGAGTGCCCAAAAACTTGCCCCACCCCACCCCACCTACCCGCAGGGCCACTCATCACCTCCAGGGCCCACCGCAGATCAACCAGGCAGCCCAGCAGCATCATGATGGCCCCACCTTCTGCCCGTGCCCCACAGCATCAACTGTGCGTGATGGGGCATGAGGGCAGAGTCTTGTCTACACTGCCTGGCTGCCATATCCTTGGCTGCGCTTGGAGGTGACTCTCCTCCAGGGGGCTGCTGGTGAGGAGGGGATCGTAGCGGGAGGCAAGGCTGGGGCAACGGCACATGTGCCCACAGAGAGGGCTCTGAGTGCCGCCTCTGGCATCCGTGCCATAGGTTTGCCACCACTGTTATATACTGTAGCAAAGGATCAACTGAGAATTTTAACTTCCAAAATATGTGTACCTCCAAAATTATGTTTGACTTATCTATGGATGGGTTTATCAAGAAATACTGTAAGACTTTTTTGAAGTACCATATACACTCGCAGATAAGCTGGCTCTCAATTTTTTTAACCAAAATACTATGAGAAATGTGCCACTTGCAGATAAGTCAGTTGCAAAAGTTTAAAATGGAATCTGTCCTAGAAAACAACATTAAGTGATATAAAATATGAAGTCCTAAAGTCATTTAGAATATATTAAAAAACATGTGAAACTTTTGAGGTGTGTCTTATACCATTTTTCATGGTATTCTTAAGAAATATTTACCAATAAGTCAATTCAATTCAATTTATTACAGCCAAAGGCCACACATAAATCAAACATCCAAATAAAACAAAACTAGACAGAGCCATCACAAGAGGACATGGCAATACATCACAATCAATGGTGCAATCAATGGGCAACCAAGATCTGCCTAGTTTTACAGGCAGTATATCAAAAACAAGCTATCTTCAGAAACTGAATCATACTGACCTGACATTAAAAGTACAATGAGTATAGTCTAAAACTGGATAAAACATGTAATAAAATCAATTTTAAAAGATTATTAAAAAGATCTAAAATGATTATGTTTCTGGCGAATCCCCAATGCTGCAGCACAGAATCTGGCCACCTGCGCTGTGATCTCTGTCTGCTCATCCTTAAGCAGCCATTAGAGATAGATACTTTCTGAATGACCAGGATATCTATCAATTATGGGGAGGATATGGTTTTTCCGAATGGCTCTGTAGCAGGAATATTGAAGGAGTATGTGTCCAATGGTCTCCACCTCTCCTGAGCCACAGGAGCAGAGTCTTTCAGACAGTGGTGTCTTTTTGTACTTGCCATACAAGACGGCCAATGGAAACGCATGGCACCGTGCAAGCGAGAATGCTTTCTGGTGGTTTACTGACTCCAACTGACTAAGATACCTGGCAAGTATAACCACGTATCTAATAGAGTCTGGAGCCAGAAACAGTGGAGCTATACCTAAGTCCGCTTGCCTCTTGATGTCCTTTACCCTTTGATGCAAGGTTTGTTTTGCTTGGTCGTAGTCCAATTTGAGAATTGAGGCTGATGAGAAGCCTAGTTTGGCAAGGTAGGACTCGACTGCCTTGATCCACGAAGAGATAAGAAAATTTATCTTGTAGAATTAATGGAGCAAGGCCTTGCGGAAAGCAATGTTTAAGGAAGCTATACAGATTCTTGCTTCAACTTTTATCAATCCTGTCTTCAGGCACAGAAGTGCATTAGGAACACAGTGAGACATCTGGAGAATTGTTCTGATAAATTTAGATGAAACTCTTTCCACTGGTATAAAACATGAAGCTGAGGGTCCAAGCAAGATCCCGTAGAAAAGCTGCGCTAGCGACTTGGCCAGAAAGACTTAAGTGCAGCTGGAACATAGTGTCCTCCCTTTGTGTGGAAAAATTAAATGGCATTCGCTGATCATTGGCCAGAGGCAGCCGTGTATTCTCCATGGGCTTTTTGTGAGCCAGTGGCATGGATGACCACCCCAAGGTACTTAAAGGTGGTTACCTGCTCTATTTTGTGGCTATTTAAATATCATGTGTACTGTTTTGGCCTTTTAACAAAAGCCATAATCTTTGTTTTCTCATAATTTATGTCTAGTTTATTATATTTGCAATACTGGACAAGGGCTTGCAAGGCTCTTTTAAGGCCAACTGGAGTCCTGGAGAGAATCACAGAGTCATCTGCATAGAGCTGCAGAGCAATGCTTCGGTCACCTATTTTTTGGGAGTGGTAATTTGGATTATTCAACCATTTTACCATATCATTTATATAAAAATTAAAAAGCAAGGGGCCAAAATGCACCCGTTTAACCCCCTTTTGAGTTTCAACTGACCTCAAGAGAGACCCTTACATATTACACCTCACCTTGAGGGATGTTTTGGTACGTAAGGCATGTAACAGATGGAAGAGTCTATGATCAATTGAG